TAATAATAATAATAATTTCATGAGTAAAGCACATTATTACCAGTGTTGTGCACAGACATCGAAAAATGTCTGCAAAACTCAAAGACAAAGACGTCTTTGAACATGTCTTCAAAACACGCAGCCACAGACATCATCTTTTGAAAAATGACTGCCAGTCATGTCTGCGTGTTTTGAAGACATGTTCAAAGACTTCTCAAGAAAAATTTACTAAAAGCGCTTATTCTTTCTTGTGTTCCATAATTTTCATCAACTTTCAGTGCAAGTTACAAAAAATTATAGCACACTTGTGAATCAAGCTTAAATAGATATTTTCTAAACTCACTGAAAGTTGTAAAAAATTGTAGAACACATGCGAAAATAAGCGCTTTTAGTAGATTTTCTTAGGAAAAAATTTTGTTTTTCAAAAATGTTTGTAAAACACAAAGACATTAAAAAATGTTTGCGAAACACGAAGCCACAGACGTCTGGGAGACACCGAAAATATGGCTGGAAGTCGTGTCTGCAAAACATGTCTGCGGTCTGCCAGTCATTTTTTCGAAGACACAAAGACATGTCTTTGAAAATTTGCACAACACTGATTATTACAGCAATACGAGTATGCGTTATTTGAATGCCTTCTTTGCAGCGTTATTGTGGCAATTGTATATTTATAAATTTAGCCTTCGTTAAAAAAGAATATGTTGCAGTGAAACATGTCAGCAGTATTAGACTCATAGCGCGACGTTATGAACAAATATTTTAAATTTAATTTTGCATATTTTTTCCAATAACACAGAAGAGTTTTCACCAAAAACGAACTTGTCTGTTGCAGTTCAATTTGGAGAAACGTAATTTTTTAGCGTGCAGAAGCGCTTCAAAAACAAAGTGTTCTATAAGAAGAAATTCATCTTTTACGGAGGCCCCACCTTTGGTGAGGGTCACCGTATTGTATTCGACATTTTTTTTTGAAAATTTTTTTTTGCTTAAATATGCTTAAAATAGCATGAAACGTCGAGAAAAGTGGAAAAAATGGATTTTCATTTTTCCGTCGCCTTTCAACCCTGTCTGTCTGTATGTCTGTATGTCTGTAACTTTTTTTTTGTTAACTTTTCTAAGAATTCTTATCAAGAATTTTTCTGAGAATTCTTATCAGGAATTTTTCTGAGAATTCTTATCAAGAATTTTTCTGAGAATTCTTTATTGAGTATTTCCGAGAATTCTTTATAGAATATTTCCGAGAATTCAGTCGGAAGGTCCATGGATAGTCGGAAGGTCCATGGACAGTCGGAAGGTCCATGGATAGTCGGAAGGTCCATGGATAGTCGGAAGGTCCATGGATAGTCGGAAGGTCCATGGATAGTCGGAAGGTCCATGGATAGTCGGAAGGTCCATGGACAGTCGGAAGGTCCATGGACAGTCGGAAGGTTCACCATATGTATCTTGAAACTCCATACCGGCCGGAGTAAATTAAAATTATGCGTTAGCATAATTTGAAGCTCCCCATGTGGAGCTTCCCCATCTCCAATTTATTCATTTATTTTACAACAAATGAGAATTATGAAAAATATGACATTTAAAGAGACATTTATTTGTATTATTAAGATTTTGTATTATATAATTTTTAAACATATCTTTTTAGCTTTGAAATATTTTCGATTTATTTTAAATATTTTTAAGTAAATTTCATTTCTCTGAAATTTGAAGATATTTTATATTTTCCTCCTTCTAGAAAGTAATTTTATCCATATGAAACGATTTATATAGGAATTGTCAAGGTTACATGAATGATAAAAGATAAACTCTTTCACGCTATTACTAACACCTTCTAAATTCTTAACAGTAATCATAATGGAATTATAATATAAATAGCTAATTGCTAATGAAAATATATTTGGACTATTGAAAAATATTAATAAACAACCCGACTTAGTAACGTTTATAAAATGCCTGCCTAAAATTCGGTTTTCCTATTAAATAAAAATTTTGAAAGCCCTATTCATTCTTTTCTGAAATTGATCAAAATACTTTAAATTCATAATTAATACTTAGAAGTTGTTCTATTAATTATTGTAATTGTATATTCGGAGATTTTAAACTATAAATACAAAATTCCTTAGTGTCACGCATATATTATCCTTTTTCAGTTATTTGTAATTTCCAATATTTAATATGCGCGTGTAAATAAATAAAACATCAAAGGGAAAACCAAGGTACATTTACCCTCATTCTTTTTATTCAAATATTGCTGTCAGTGCACTAAAGCGATTGAAAATACAGGAATATAAATCCCATCATTTTTTGCTCCCCATGTCTCATCACTTGAATAATGAGCGTTTCACTTTCAGTAGCGTTCCACCTGATAAAAATTTTAAATTTTATCAAATTTGATAAAATAATACATTTAAGTTTATTATATCGCAGTGAAATCTTCCACTTTAAATGAAGCTTTTTTTTGATAAAAACAATCTTTGGATAGTTCTCTTCATAAGAGAAAATCTATTTCTATTTATTTTTTATTTAGGAATTCATAAAGTGAAGATTAAAAATTAAATTAAATAGTCTTATATTTTAACAACTCTTTTTGAGACACTCTTTCGAAATGAAAAAGTTTGGGGTTTAGATATTTAGAAAATCCACTTTTTTTGGTGGTTTTCAGGAAGCATTATTAGAGTAAATGCAAACAAAAAATCAAAATTATACTATTAGATGTCACATTAAAGAACATTTAGGTAGTCTAATTTCTAATGATTTAAATCTATGTAGGTAATTTTTTTTCTCGCTATCGCTACTTGTTCCGATTTTGACCCCTGGTTTTTTCATACTTTTTCACTAGTATTCCGAAATTGTGATTAGTAGTGTGTACACTAGTTTCGAACTTAATTTTCTTCTCTATTTTAATTATTTTTAGCTTAAAACTTTTTAGAGAAGCAGAGTATAGTCCAAAGTACTTTTCTAAAAAGTTCTAAGCTGTAAATAATAAAGAAATGGAGAAAATTAAATTCGAAACTAATGTACGCATTACTAATCACGATTTCGGAGTATACACACAACTAGGAAAGCACTTTATATCAGTTTTGACACGATTATTACGATTTTTTCAATACTGTAGCGTACCTTTTGATTTCATTTGATGGCCGCCTGTTAGAAATTTTGAAAAACAAATTGAAAGGTAAATCGCTTTACAGGTCGATAATTTTTATTATATAAGAAATTTTTCCACATTAACTAAAATTTTTCATTTTACCTTTTACGAAGTTTTGAGTAATATATTTATATATATATACATATTAATATTTCAGGCAAACAAAATAGGTGCATTACCTTTCTTCTGTCATAACGGTGACCATCTAACAACGCCACCTCCAGCTCACTGTGGAATCCCTGCCTATCAGATTGATCCCAAAACTATGGGTAAGTTTATTTATATCAAACTATTAATAAAAATATATATAGGTAGTTTTGATTATTTTTTAAATTCGTATTTCTGAATAAATTTTTTGTTTCTATTAAGCATTTTTTTGCTTTCGTTAGCTTAAGATTTCGATACCTTTTAAATCAACTAAAAAAATTAAAATTGAGTTGGTACACGAAAAAAGTCCCAAAAAAATTGATGGAGTCTACTGTTTTCCTTCGTGAATCACCCCATGTGATGGGGTATGTTCTGTAGACCCCCCTATTACTTATCTACTGTTTTTATTCACATTTACATAATTAAATAACCTACAAAGTCATTCTGGGGGTCAGTAAGATCTTAAACTATGTTTAAAAATAAAGCTGAAACTGAATGAGAAGATAAAAACTTGGTCCACAAAATTACGATCACTCTTTATTTTATTGACAACTGGTATCACATTAATTTGAACGAGTGTAATTGATGACAAATGGTTTCCATCTATTTATTTATCGTATTACAAACAAACTATTTTTCTTTTTGATGTTGAACCCCTAAATGTTCTTTTTCTGTAACCCCTATAATGATTTACACTAGGTAGCTTTTCTTTAAAAAAACTATCACAAAGATCTATGTTTTTAGACTATGTTAAGTAATGAATACGTTCATAATGTAGATGATGATTATGATGATGATACTCATTGAACCGGATGAATTACAAAACTCTTGTCAACACAGTGAAGAACAGTATAAAAGGGTCCTTATAAGAGAATCTCAAATTAAAAAATGCAAGAAAAAAGAGGGAAAATGACAGTAAGGGAATCAACGTTCATCATTTTACATTTAAAGCTTGACTTACATATGAATTGTCGTCCAGCGTATTGCAATTGGCTCCATATTAATTTTCGATAAAAGAGTTGTTTAATGTACTTATAAATGAATTTTGTATCTAAGAATACAAGGGAACGGACAAAAGACAGAACCTTTTTTCCTAGAGCTTAAGCGTGTTAGATATGTCAACCCTTCAAATTTACAGATGAATGAAAAAATGAGATTTAATGGGGTGGGAGATACATGAGTTTATCATCAAGGTTTAAGCATTATAACTGTAAAGAATTGCAATTTAATGAATAAAATAGTTTAACATACTTATTCGAATGTTATTTGTTATTTATATTTGGTTTTCATATGAAATCGATCAATTCTTATGTTAATGTTTTAAATGATAGTGGTTTCAAAACTGTGCAAATTAAAAACTTTGATAAAATAAAATAATGCTTTTATATCGCATTATAAAAAGCTAATTCGGCTTTCCAAATTTGCGATCTCAAGGTTACTGATTATGTTACTTAATCAAGTATTATTTATTGACTCGTTGTGAACTTTTTCTAAAGTTGATATTTGAGTTATAATTATATAATATGTGAGTAGTATTAATTATGTATATTATTCTGGGAAATATAAACCGGAAGTGTGAAAGTTTGTGGGTCCATTGCCAGATTGGCAATCTCATTTTAGAAAAAAATAGTCGTAGATCGGATTGCCAATCCAAATATCTTTGTATCGCCCAGTGCTGAATATACATTCATGCATAACAAAGTTTTTATTAATTTCAAAATCTTATGTCCTTTAAAGCATATTTTCAAAACATATCAACTTGCAGACTCGCTTCATTTAAACGAGTTTTTCAGTCGAATTACTATTTTGGAATTGTAGAGAAATTTATATTTAACCCTTATTTGTAGAATATTCCACTACAATTTTCCACGATTTTCAAAATTTCAAAATGGCATATTTTTAAAGGTGGAAATGAAGTGTCTTGTATATTCTTCCGTCAGAATATGTCAACTCCATTTTCTTTGCATGATATGACGAGCTCTGCTTCCCTGAATATAGACATGTTCAACTTAATAGTTTTCCAAATTTCAAAATGGCATATTTTTAAGGTGGAAATGAAGTGTCTTGTATATATTCTTCCGTCAGAATATGTCAACTCCATTTTCTTTGCATGATATGACGAGCTCTGCTTCCCTGAATATAGACATGTTCAACTTAATAGTATCTATACTCCACGAAGAAGTTTTCCAATTTTATTTAATGATTAAGAGAAGAAGGTTACAATCCATGTCACATGTTGAGCAAAATAATTTCCAGGACTACGATTTTCAATTTCGGGATATACACGTATGCAATAGCCCCTATATACATATATCTTATTAAAAATTCATACGCAGTCATTTTAATTCGATGTTTGTTGGTGTCAAAAATCATTTTTATATAATAAGTGACTTGAGCTACGAAATCATCAAATGCAGATTAAAAACAATGTCAAAGAAAAAAATTCAAAGCTTTCCTCCGTATTCCTTACATATTTTTTTTTCGAAAACTTATCAAAATACAGAAGAAAACAAAAAAATGATGGAAATTTCTAAGAAACCTAATATTCAGATGATTCTTAAGATTCCTGAAAACTTTCAAAAAATTTTTATCAAAACTTTTCAGTTTTCCAATAAATTTTTTTAAGTTTCTACAGAAAATTTTCTCCTTTTTGATTTAGGATAATCATAATTTCTTAGGAAGAATTTTTTACTGGATCCTTTTGTTTACACTATTCGAATCAGACAGAGCCTCTCGCGACAGAATCATCCTTTATTTAGCATTGAATTAATTAAAAAAACAACAAACATATAATTTTTAAGATTCTTATTTTCAAAATAGAACTTTTGATTACATAAAGATTAATGGATTTTACTTATAAAGCGCTGCACTCTAAAATAATTTTTTTGATATTTTTTTACACAACAGAGTTAGTATGACCTAATAAAAATTTTTAAGTATTGCTATGCATAAATATAGAATAGATAAAGCATTATTTCGATATAAAAACAGTACAATTGAGGTCTTTACTAGAGTAATATTTTTAATTGACTACAATTCATATCGAATTTGTCATTTCATAATAGACCGTAAGAAATGAATTTGCTAGAGGGTTGGTTTTTCCTTAATTCAAGGGGTTGGATTTACTAGTGACAATATGTTTAATGGTATCGAACCAACGCAGTGAGCAATTATTTAAAAATAAATTATTTTAAGCTTCAGGATATAAGTGTAAAACACATTAGTTATTACATATTACTTATGAACTAATTTATGTTGGTATAACATAAAACATAAGACAATTCAATTGTTATTCCTGCTACATTCATAAAATATATAAAAATATTGATAATCCAACTCAAGATATACTTCTTTTTGTTGAGTTTTTATCTATTCTTTTGAAAACTTCGATTGAGAATTAGGGAAGAAACTTTGAAGTTAAGATCAGTTAAGAACTATCATCTATGTGGCGAAAGAAAATTCTTGGTAGCTAAACGTAAAATGTATGGTTAAAATGATACCTTTTAATAGCGACTTCCCAACGTTTGCTTACGTGATACATTGGGTGCACATTTGGTTGCGGTGCAAATTATATTTATAAAAATGTATTTTTTTCCTTTCATTTAGGGTACGTATTCGTGTATTCGTACTTTTAAGCAAGTATTTGGCATACCGAATATTCGCCGAATATTCGGTACGTTATTCGCCGAATACTAGTTATATTTTTGATTCAATTTTTGTTCCTAGATTTAGCGAAAATTTCGAAAATGGACAAATTAACTTTCAAAATTATCCTAAAATATGATAATTTTTTTCTGCTTTAAATTTATCAACTTTTATTTTTATAATTTAAGCAAATTACAAGTAGATAAAAAGCAATCGAAAACTTTATTTAAACGTTACGAAAATGAAAATTTCAATGAAAAAAAGAAGTCGTGGTTCGACATTTCTACATGTAAAATTTGTGATAAAGACATTAAGATCAAAATTTGCAAAATCGTCGATGTCGAATCATTTGCTTTTACACAGCCTGTAGATCCCGATGATGTAACAAAACGATACTGATTCGAACGCAGCTAATATTTCCCAACTTCAAGCAAATTCATCAAACCTTGTCATGAGCAAGTTTCGTATGATTCTTAAAATGCTTCACAAGAAATTCTTGCAAAATGTGCAAGTAAACATGGAATCAGCATCCGCGTTATAGCAACTTCTGAGGCAATAAAAGTAAATGAGAGTCAAATTATAAAAGAAGAAGATGTCAAAAATTAAAATAAAATTATAAATATTTAATGTTTTTGAATTTTTAAAGAAAAAATCAGTAACGAATAATTATTCGCTATTCGGCGAATATTCGTTACCCTGAAAAACACGAATAAATACGTACCCTACTTTCATTGTTTTAATCTTATTGAAGCAAAATAAAAACTTTTCTGGAACAAAAAGAAAATAAAAAAATTAGCTGAAACGGAAATGTTTTGGAATAATGATTCAATTTGATGATCATCAGATAGTAAAACTATGGAAAATTGGTGAAAAGTTTTGGAATTATTAAATAATGTGGAAAACTGATGAAAAATTCTTGGAAAATCGATGAAACACTCACAGTATGATTACGCAAGAGTTGGCACAACTCTGTTTTGGTTTATATTGCATTGAAACAGGTGACAGTGTAGCCTGATAGTATACAATCTGGCAGTGTTCTTACTCTTTGTTCGGCTTGTTCGCTCATTATTTTTCAAGCATTGTTTGTATGCTACAAATTAAGCTATTTTATTTTAAAAACTCTCGGGAAATTGTTCGATTTTAAAAAATCCATAAAGACATATTAATAATTAATAAAGTAAAACAAAAGTATCTCTTTTATCACCATAAGCTATTTTTTTAATCAAATTATTTGTTTTTTATTATAAGAACCTGTATAAGAGATCAATCAATTTTTTTGTTATAAATTCATACAAATCGCATTTTGCTTAGCCGCTTTTGATCTTTTTCTGGGGTTAAATAAAATGCGCTCACTATAAAAAAACACAATGCAAAAAAAATCGATAAAAGATCTGTTTTAAACATTCGGGTGAGGGTTTTTTAGTCTGTGATGATGATGATAATAAAATAATCGATAATTTTTCAAAGTTAAAACTTAAGGCTATACGTCTATATATTGTATATTTCTATGAATTTTTTGAAGATGTTTAAAAGGATTAAACTGAAAAGTCAGTTCGCTCTAAGTTTTTACAACCTAAAGTAAAAAGTTCGTTTTTGCGTTCATAATCAGTGCAATCAATTATTAGGATGTACTACCAAGTGCTTGTATCGAATAAAGAACATGAAGAACTTGTATTTTTACTTGCATCAAATATAAATTATCATTTTATTTAAAGAAATTTGTTTACCTATTTTTTTTATTTTTTTAAGAAGAGGTTCACTTTCAATAGCGTTCCACAGAGATGTATATGTCTGAATACTCTTCATTGTTCACATTTGACAAATTTTAATGTTTATCAAATTTGATACAAAGAGAAATTTCAGTTTATTATGTCTCAGTGAAATCTTACACTTCAAATGAAACGGGAAGCATCTAAACTTCTGAAAACCTCAGTTCAAGTATCGCCTTGCTATGAAATATCGCCACCTTCAGGATCGTACCAATTCACTCATCGATATGCATTCTGATACAAATCTGACGCACAGACACTTAGGTCAATGGAGCAAACTTGCCCCCTTTGGCACTGTGTTTGAATTATTATTATTAAATCAATTCAATAGAAAAGTAGAACCAGTCAAATCTTAACAAGAATCTCATAACGTGGCAAAAACCAGAAAGTTTTGATCACTTTCTGAGATTGTTTCATTCTCTCTTAATCCCAAACAATTTTATCGAAGAACTTTTATTGATAAAGAAAGTTACCTTTCACAAGTGGGTATTTGTATTTGCAAGTACTTGTAGAAAGTATGCAAATACCAAACACATGTATTTACATTTCGACATCCATAGATGCCATTATGATTCATATGACATAAAAAACTTGAAATTTTTTGACAAATTCAATACTAGCACTAACACGTGGCCTCCGCAGAATCTGGAGTGGCCACAACATTTGTAATTTCAGAAATTTTCATGTTTGAAGTCATATCCGTCGTAGTGCGACATGAAAATTTTATCAGAATTTGATTCAAGTTAGAATTAGGTAAAGTGGAACTTCTATTAACAGTAACTTAGATAAACAAATAACCTTGATGAACAGATATTTTTTTGTCTCCTTGATTCGAATTTGTCTGAAAGATTGTCTCGATAAACAAATATTTTTTTTCCCCCTTGGGTTATCTGTATATTAAAGTTCCACTGCAAACTAAATATTTGAAATTTATATTCCGTTGATGATTCTTCAATGTTTTCTTTTTATATAAATACATTTCAAGCTTATATTCTCAAGAAACAATTTTTATTTCCTAGGTTTAACTCGCCCAGCACTCTATCCGTTTCCTGCCGCACAATACGCGTATCCAATGTTAAGTCCAGAAATGAGTGCAGCATCATGGCACACTCCATCAATGTACTCTGCTTCCTCGGGGTTTAGAAGTCCATATCCATCATCTTTACCTATAAATTCAACATTATCAAGGTAAGCAATATTATTATTTTAAATAACAAAGTTCAACAGTTAATGATTTAAAATAGAAAATAGATAGTTAACGGATGAAGCGTCCAAACAGTTCCATAAAGAGCGTTCCAATAAAAACAATTATTAAAATGATATATATTTACAAAATCAATCTTTCGAAAATCAATTCCTTCCAAAAATTTACTTTAAATTGAAGTTCATTGGGATTGAAGTTATTGAGCTAAAATTTAATTTTAAATAAAGCTTTAAAACTTTCCCAATGCGAGTTAGAGAGGCTGACTTAAATTTGCACATGGAAGAAATTCATAATAATGTTGCGATTTCTAGGTTATCAATTGGCCGTTCCACCTGCTTAAAAAACACTTTTAAAGAAATGAACTTTTTTAATTTCTAATATTTTTAATATTATAAAACAATGCAAGCAAATTATATAACTTTGGGATATGTATAGTTTAGGTTAAAACGCTGCGTTTTCGAAAAAATATTTTTTCAAGATCCGATTATTTTTCGAAAACTCTAATTTGATTTGTAGTTGCTTAAGACAATTTCAATATTCCAATTGTTTATGAGTTACAACAGAAACAAGGACGCTTGTTTTTCAACAAACCAAATTTGACTTTATGTTCAAATATTACAAAAATATGAGCAGATCCGAATTTTTTCGGATATGTTCAGAATTTTTGTATGGAAATGGCGCGAGCAAATTTTTTTTGGAGTTTTGACAAAATTTTCGCAACTTCAATTTGTTTTGTGCTTCAACAACAAATACTTATCACTCTCACTTTGCTAGTTGGTAAGCATTTGTTAAACCTTTGTCTTAAGCACAAAACGGTAGCTTAAAATTGTTCCTATGAAGCACAAAACAAATGCGCGCGAGAAAAAATAGTTTTTAAAAAAGGCAGCAGTGTGGATTAGCTTGATCATTAAACATTAATCTGTGCTTTTTTATATTATTTAGATTTTCACCAAATAGCTTGTTGCCTTCTGTCCATCCACACCATGTTCTCAACTCCCATGCAACACTTGTAACTTCGTCGGGGAAACAAGAGAGTTCAGAATCAAATCATAGATTTGGCCGGTAAGGTTTCAATACTCCTTATTTTGAATTACGAATTGCACAACAGTTTCACTTTATTATAATGAAGTTTTCCTAATTATGATTTTCATTCTTTACGGTGACAGTTTTCACCATTTTTCAATGTATCGACGGATTCTTAAGATTAAATAAGGATACTAAAAATATATGGAAACATAAGAAAAGTCCCGCCCACAGAAAAGAGGGAGAAGAGGATAAACTCATAGGGGAAAAAAGAAAAATCCTTTATGATTTGCTCATTTTCCGTCCTTTTATTGGTTCAATTTTCCTCCTCCGTTCTTATACAACGTGAAATATATTAAATATGAAGCAACAAATTTTTCTTCAGATGTATTCATAAAACACCAAACAAAATATCAGAAAATAATGATTTACAGTAAATTTTAGGTGGAATTTGTAGAAAAGCCATTTAAATTCTTTTTTTGTGATTTGCTTTCCAATGCAATAACTTTTTCTGGGTTTTTTAAAATTAATAAATTTTGCTACGAATTTTTTTTTCAATTGCATTCAGATTCGTATTTTCCTCTACTTAAATAAATTTCACTACTTGCCAAAAGATGGTGATATAAAGCAATGAAATGATGTTTATATCCATTAATACTGAGTGTAAGGAGATGCAATGAAGTTCATCGGCCCTTAGAAGCTGCTTCTAACTGGCAATACTCAGGAAAGGATATATTGTGTTTGTGATCCCATCTAGACGTATTTAAATTCTTACATATATATTTTTTGTCTCTTTCTTTTATTCATATTACATCTTTTTTGATTGAAATATTTCATATTTTTTTCAATATTTATATATATAGATGTAAATTTGTTAGTAACCTTTAAATTCTTTTTTGATTGTGCATTTGTTGAATGCAAACTAATAAATTAAACAATAACGAAAGGATATGGACAAAAACTTTTACTCTCAATACTTAGAGAAATGATTTAATAAATACACGTTATTCATATGTATTAAAATAGGATAACACAAATAAAATAGATATAAAATGCGACTTTTAATTTCCTTATTTTCTGAGTATTTGTGAAAGAATCAGAAATCTATAAAAAAAAAAGATAAGAAAACTTGTTGATAAATTGTTTTGTCTGACCTTCTTGAATTTACAAAAGTAAATAATATTAACTATTTAACAAAAATCATTACATTATACTTAGTTTCGTTCGCAATAAATTGAAAACATTTGAGTAAATGCCTCGTCGGGATTAGTTGTATTATTTTTTTTTCGCAAATACAAATCATGAAAAAAATACATACCTACTTATAAGTAAGGAATAAGGAAAGAAGAAATATTTTCATGCGGAAGTTTATTTTTCACATATCAACAATGCGCTAATACATCTACATCTTTAGTAAGATAAAAGGAACTAACACAAATACACTTTATTCGTGATAAGTTGGGAAAATTCTCCTTTCAGACAATAAATATAATCTGATTATTTCCAATACACACATATTTGCGACATTTAAGGACAAGAATAATCTACTTTGTAAGTGTGTTTGTATGTAGCAAAGTGGAGGAAAAAAATTTGGCCTCGTTTGCCAACATGGAGCCGTGTTTAAATGAGCCATTAAATTTATGTACCAAAAACTTATCGCGTTCGAGTGATGGTGATACATGTGATGGTTCCTCCGATAAAAAAAAGATCATAGATTACGATAAAATTTGTCTTCCGACATTTGTGGATGATAGCAAAGAAAAAAGTGATAATGCTTTGTCATTGACAGAAGCAAGCACAAATGGCATATCATCGTCTCATTGGGAAACCGAGAGTGACGAAGTTCGAATTCGTAGTGCGTTTCTGAAACCTGATATTGATGACTTAGACAGTGTGAATGGCTCACCTATTTGGGAATTTAAAGAAAAAAATCCGAATTTATTGTTACAACAACAATATTTCCTATTAAACCAACAACATCAACAACATTTAATAAATAATGAATCAGATGGAAACTCTGCTAAGATGCATCTCGACAAATATATGAAATTAACAAATCGATATCTAAATACGATGTCCCCGTTTTTTCAACATTTTACTCCATTGATAAACCATAGCCAAGAAGATAGTTTATCAACAAGTGCGCAAGTAGCAGCTACAGCGGCAGCTACACTACTTCTAACTAACAATCTGTCGAACCAAACACAATTAAGGGAAGAACGCAGCATTCATTTAGAATCGCAAGAATCAAACGAGACTTCAGGTGCCCGTTTTCTTCCAATACATAACACTATACGATCCTTTCTTCACAAACTCATTGAGCATAATTTTATTCAGCAAGTTCAACGACAACAACAAATAAATGACATGATAAATAATAATAATCATCAAAATTGTAATAACAATAATCATAGCTCCTATAACTCCTTTAAAAAAATAACTTCAAGCAACACTGAAGGCGAAGTAGCCGAATACTTCAACCATAACATGCTTTCTCAACAGAATAATTATCAAATAAAAACCTTTTTAGATTTCTTAAAAAAAGCTGATGACAATAGGAATCAGCAAAATTACAAGAGGTGGGGTTCTTTGGAGGAAAATTGTGCAATTCAACAAGTCCATAAAAAAGTACTAATAATGTATTACCATTTGATTCTCTTATCATTCTAGTTCATCCATCGAACCTCAACACAACAATAAGAATTTGTCAAGTTCAATACCTCCAGATAACGTAAAAGATTCCTTAGCAAATGACAAAAAAAAACCACATATCAAGAAGCCACTTAATGCATTTATGCTTTATATGAAAGAGATGCGAGCACAGGTAACTTTTCAGCTTTAAATTATTGCAATCTTTTCATTTTATATTTTTTTTCAGGTTGTTGCAGAGTGCACCCTTAAAGAATCTGCTGCTATCAATCAAATACTTGGAAGAAAGGTGAGCAAATGAAAGTTAATTTTGTATTGAATTCTATAATATTTATTGATTAACATGAAACATTAATGACTTTCAATTAAAAGTTTCCGCTTAAAATACAAAGTTATTGTTCATTTGAGTTCAGCGGTTTCATGTTTTCAAGTTCTGAATAATTATCTAAATTTTAGGTTCTATTGGAATTAAGATTTTTGATAAAACTTAAAATAAAAGCAGTTTAACAAAAATGTTATATCTACATTAAAGTGAAAATAAGAGATTTCGCGTAATAAATATCGTAATAAAAACAACATCAACAATAAATTTTTCCTCAAACTTGTAGGCATCAAACAGTGCTTTGTTTCGCGGACCGTGTTCCGGAAAGTTCTTAAAACGTGAAATAAAGTTCATTTACTCTGTTCCAGAACAGATTGATGTTCCTTTCCTGTTCTTTATTATTGTTCCGGAACATTTTCGTGTTGCCGTTTAGTTTCTTTTCTGTTTCCGGACCAAAAAGGTGGCGGAACAGAGTCAGGACGTTCAAAAGCGTAGTTGCTTCTAAATTCAATAGTTTGATGCGCTTTTCTGTGTAAATAATATTTTATATGCATATTATTATATGCAAATATCTAATACTTTAGATAATTAAACTTTGAATAATAAAGTAAATTGTAAATTTGAACTACCTATAATGTTAAATTATTTGAATACTAAATTCATATTCTCAGTAAATCTAAATATCCTAAACTTAAAAAAAATTGAGAATATTCCTAAAGTACCTAAATGTTTAAATTTGATTAAACACCTTAAACTATTTTTTGAATTTTAAACTTACATAAACTGCGGGCTACGATAATGAACAAACCGAACAAAAGTTTGGAATATTAATCCAGTATTCTGATCCGAAAATTCGGACTGTCGATTGATTTTATTGGAGCTCTATGCCCGCTCTAAATGTGTATGTTGATTTTTACATTTGATTGAAATTGGGAAAATCTTGAGAATTAATATAAAACAAATTCACAGTGGCATTCTCTGAGCAGGGAAGAACAAAGTGTTTATTATGAAAAAGCACGACAAGAGCGCCAATTGCACATGGAATTGTATCCGGGGTGGAGTGCGAGGGACAACTATGGATACGGTTCCAAGAAAAAGAAACGCAAAAAAGACAGATCGCCCGCGGATTCGGGAGGTATTACTCATTGCTTGAGCTTTTTATTATTTTTTTTATTAGATTTAATTACACAAAAAGAATCATGTCATTTTAAAAATTTTACAAACTTTAGAATCATCTTTTTGTTGTATTTTTTTATTTTTGAATAATTATTACGAATAATCATTCGAGAAAAATAATGAGAATGATTGTATGATAACATAGATATGAACTGAAAAAATTGAAAATTTTTGTTAAAACTTGAAATTAATTTCATGTTTTATTTTGTATTAAACATATTTGATAAAAGGCAATTCCTTTATTCATACGAAATTTCATACAAATTTTAATAAAATATTGGCGCATTGAAAATGAGAATTGTTTGCAAAATAAATTTTTTATTTCTTGTTTTATTTGTTTACATATTTTTATTTCTGTACTTTAATGTAGTAAGCAATCATCGGCAATTTTATAATGAAAATTTTTAAATCAAATATAGTTAAAGATCATTGAAACACATTCTCGACATAATTTAATATCTTAAGCATATACATCTAATAGAAATATAGACATGCAAGAATGGAAATGAAAAAAGTCGTATGATACATATTAACAAATTTGAAACATGCTTAACTTTTAGAAAACATTTCTTCCTCTCATACCTACACAATATACTTTTCATTCACTCTTATTCTAAATAATAGTTCTAAATAAAAAATGTAGTGCGTTATGGATAATTCTTGAAAATTTTCTTCATAACAATTTCACCTACTTACATTTTACATTTGTAAGTATAATCACTTGCGAGTACAATTCATATGCAAAAATCACTATACTGCCGTGATGCCCTAGACGTACCAGAAGTTATTTTCAATAATAACAAAGCAAATTCTTGGAAAATTAACAAATTTTGAAAAAGCCTAGGTAGTATTTTTTGTAGCACCATCTGACAGAGTGGGAAAAAGTAATATCTTGGTTTACCCTTTGCAGCGCGGTGATAAATATCACAGGAAAAAAGTGAAAGAATTAAAAATTAATCTCTCATTTTTGAACCGGGACATTATGATATCACAATAATAAAAATTACCTAGATAATAACAATGATTAATATCACAATTTTGGCTAATGAGCTAGTTGAACTCATTGTTCAATATTTTTCTTCCTTATGTAATGAAATCCGTACACATTCACAATAGATTTTATAAAACCTTTTCCTTCTTAGTTAATCGATTTTTTTGACTGATCAATTACATAATATGAAAAACATCAAAACAAATTTAGGACCTGTACACCTGATTTAATGAAAGACCAGTAATGAAGGAGGTTTAACAAAGTTTTTTTTCTGTTTATAAATTTTCTCCATTTTTTTCTTTTTTCATTTCTAGCGGAAAAATTAATTTATGAGTAAAACTAACGCTCAATTTAAAGCTCATTTAAGCTTGCTATGGAATGCATCTTACACTTAATTAGCACTATAAAACATGGCATTTTGTGAATTTCATGCTTTGTAGTGTTACGAAATTTTTCAGATAGATCTCGTAGTAAGCTTAAATTAGGTTCAAATTGACCGTTGGTATCACTCAAAAATGAAACTTTCCACTGAAAATGCTCATTTAAAAGATAATAGCCTGACATTCTAAATAATTTTGGTTCAGCTGCTGAATTTCAGCATAGTTATTTTTATCTACCTTTGGGATGAAAGTTTCTAGTATGCATTTTAAACTTCAATTAATCGTGTTCAACTACTGTTCAAAATTTAGTGCTTTGATTACTGTTAATCGAAGTTTTCAAACAAATCGGAGAATTGATATCTCCTAATTCAACCACACATATTATTTATTTCTACACAAACTTCAAGATATATTTTAAGATTTCTGCATTAATCAAACTCTGAATTGATTCTCAAGAATATACATATAGTTTAGTTTTAAATGAAATATAAAAACAATATACATCCCGAATCCGATTTTTCAATTCCCAAAAATTATGGCGTGCGATAACTAGATATTTTTATAATGAGAAGTAAGAGGGTTTGATAATCGTCGGTGATTGAAAGGAAATTAAAAAAATTCTATGTCTCTAGAAATGATTACTCTTATAATCTTTTTGATAATCTCTAGCAGTATCACCGCATACTTATTTCGATACTTTAGCTCTCACAACCTCTATAGTCTTTATCAATACTGGGGTGACAGAATAATGAAATTTTAAAATGAGCAGAGGTGTTTCATTCAACTTTAATTGGAACAAGACGAAAAATGAAACATACTTTGTTCCATTTATTATTATTTCATTTTATTTTCCGACATGTTCTGATTCATTGCAAATCCAATTGAACATCTCCAAATTAAAAAGGATCATTCTCCCTCCAGCAGGCGAAAAAAAATGAAATTAAAATCATAATTTTATTTCTAAAGTTGCATAAGTGACAACTTTTTTATGCTTATTTTTTTCACTAAATAATCATCATATCTATTTGCAAGTAACGTAATTAAATAAATATCAGAGTGTGAAACTAATTATCTATATAGGTATTTAGGATTTTAGTGGGAAAATGGATAATATCCGTAATCACTTTAAATAAATTGAAATGATATAAAAACTTAAGGATCGTTTTGAAAAAAAATCACAAAAGTGCTATATTTGGAACCTGTATTCATGTGAAATTCTTAGTCACGCGATATTTTTAAGAAATGGTCCATATTTCAATTCGGCTTGAGACACCTATAAAGGTGTTTGGGAGTCTTGGAGTCATTATGAAAAGATCTATTTTTATTGTAATCAAGCTAATAAATTTCGAAAGATGATCATGATGATGAGTTGATGTTGAACTTTTTTCTCTTCCGTCACATTTTCGTGTAACAAAATTCGATCTAGATTGTCGGACAATACAACATTATAATATTTATCAGCTATATAGTATTTTGGAAATGAAAATATTTTACTTATTAAGTACTTAAAACTTTTCTTTGAAAATTTTTACTTAAAATTTAAGGCAACTAGTTTGCTGGCTGTTGTTGCTGATTTTCAGAAAACTGAATTTACCTAATAATAATACAAATAGCTCTTAATTATTTATTTATTGCTCTTTTGGAAACGATTTGTATAAATTAATTCTCTCTCTCTCTCTCCCTTATGAGGGAAATCCTCCCTATTGTAAGTTTTCTCTCTGTTTTCTCATACAGAAAGATGAATAAATACATGAACAGGAAGGAATAGATACTACCATCGAATGATGATGAAAGAATAGGTTTCAAGAGAAAAAAATTGTTGTGGTTGTTTTTACGACAAATTTCATTAATAAAATTATCACACAGCCGTATTCATAAAAAGAGATATATTAAATTTTCGATTAAAAGTGTGCTTTTACTAGGATTGAAGTTTTTAAGCAGTATTAAAAAAATTGAAACTAGTATTTGGGATTATAATCCATAAGTATTACTGATACCAGTATTAGATTGTAGATAATTTTTCTAAATTCTCAAAAACAAAAGAAAATCAAATTAAAATATAATCTTCATTTATTAATGTGGCTGTTAATGAACTAAAGGAAGGAAATTTATTCAAATACATTTGAAATGTACCGCCGAAGAATACCGCTTTAATATTCAACTTGCTCATATGCTTCAATAATATTTTTATATATTTTTCTTCCCTTTTTTTTCATTTCATTTTTTTCCTTATTGTGTATTTGCGCTCGGTTCCTTTGGGGGAAAAATATATCAAATGATGAATTTTATCAGTGGCACGCCTTGGGCCGAGAAGAGCAAGCCAAATATTATGAGTTAGCGAGACGCGAACGACAATTGCATATGCAAATGTATCCAGATTGGAGTTCGCGGACGAACGCATCGAGGGGCAAGAAGCGGAAGCGAAAGCAAGAACCAAACGACGGAGGTACAAAAAATTTAAAACTTAATCTCACATTGAACAGTTTTATACATTTTATTCGCTTTTCTATCTAAACTAGTTGCGACAATGTTTAAATAGATTACACGATTATTGCGCCAATATTTTAGGATGACTGAAGGTGAAAATGTCTAATTTTTTTAAATTCCACATTATTTTGAGGATTCAAAACATATACAGTGAATTCTTGACAAGAGATCCTATCGATAAAATAATTCACGCGATAGTAAAAAAAAGCATATGGGTCAAAATTTGGAACAAAATTCCCTCAATAAGGAGATTCACCTGATGTAACAACTAAATTTCCAAGCCCTTCTACTGTTTTCTTGTCAAGAGTTGACTGTTATCTGTTAAATCAAAGTTACATGTTCTTCAAAAAATGTTGGAGAGAATAAAAACATAAGACACTTTCATCCCTAGCCTTATGTGCATCTTTTATTGTTTTTTATTTATGCTGGCAAATGCTTTCTAAATAGGGATCGGAACCGGTTCCAATTTTTATTACGAAAACCGCAACCGAAAATGAAGAATCGGTACCGGTTTCCGTTCCCAGTTTCTAAGTCATACATTTTTGTTTAAAGCTATAAAATCATAGCAAGCATTTGTTCATTTCTTGCATGTATATTACTCTAGAGAGAAAATATTTATGTATTACAAAAATAATATTTTCATATGAAATTATAGAAAATTTAATTTGCAAACATTTGAGAAAAAGACATTCTGCTCTTATTTATATTAAAAAGTTTGATACAGACTTTTACAGCCGTATTCATAGAAGGAGGAGTTCCAACTGAAAGTGTGTCTCTATTAGAATTTGGTTAAAACCAAAAATTGCATTCTTGCCAAAAATTTATTCCAGATTGAATTTCAATTTGCATTAAATTTGTATGAGATCTCAATCCAAATATAATCCTGGCTCGAAATTATCGATAAGTTATTATTTGAAATTGCAAATTGATTCTGAATTCATACTATATGAATATGGCTGTTAAGCTTTTCAAGGAGCTTCCACGTCTTCGATTAAAAATTTTCTGTTTGAAAGTTCGATTGATTATCATTTTCTGCTGAATTATTTTCTTATATTTTGTTATAAGAAAAGTTAAATAAGAATTAAATGCCTTTGAAAACAAACTATAAGACTCTTCATAAAATTGTTATTATCGCCGGTATATCTAAGAATTTCTATATATTCTTTTTAAAAACTGAATGATTGGAATTATGAAATTTCCTGATTTGCGTGTTTGAATTATTGTCTACCATCAAGAACTCGTAACAGAAAAAAAAATTTAACAGGGCTATGTTCCGTGGACCGTGTTTCTCTTAAGTTCCTTGTGAACGGTCATTTTAAATGTTCCGGAAAAAAATCGAAGCACTAGAACAAAGCCCTGGTGTTTAAAAACTTACAATTTTTTCATTATTTTTCTCGAATTTTAGTAAAGATTTATTTATTCTTCAGAAAACTATTTATAATAAAAAATTATTCATGGCGATATTTATTCATTAAAATTCTTTTTATCCTTAACTTCAATTCCTTATCAAAATCTTATGGATACATAGGTAACAGTATGAAAAAATGCCGAGCAAGATATGGACTAGATCAGCAAAATCAATGGTGTAAGCCTTGCAGGTGAGTTTCACTACTAAAATGATCATCAATATCAGAAAGGGAATTATTGAAACATTTATTTGTAACAGAAGTTTAAGGAACAGCTTGATAAATTTATATTTATGATTTAAGTTTTTTTTTGGTTTTTACGAAAGGTTTTTACACGATAAATAGAGTATAAGTCTTAATATATTAAATGGTGGAGGAAACTCTTATTGTCAATTTTCTTTTTATTATAAATCGTTTAGAATTAACATGAAAAAAATTGAAAACGTTATTATTCCCTTTAGTCCAGGATTGTCAATATTAAGTGGGACAACTGTAGTCAGTAACACAGTAATCCCCACCACGACTACATCTTCATCGTCGTCATCTTCGGTGCATTTGCTTGGTGTAGCTGGAAGCTTAAATACTTTGGTCAATGGACCTCCTCAAGCGTCACCTCAAACTCCTACTTACGTAAATCTTTAAGATTTCTTAAATGTAATTTTTTCACTCTTTTAATGAAGTATAAATTATCTTCACAATTTGAAGAAAGCTATGAAATAACTATTTTAAAATTTTTGTTATCAAGGTCCCATGCTTCATTGTAAATAAATAAAGAGCGTCATCCAAGTGATAATTTTTGAGAGGATATTTCTATTTCATCGTTCAGAGGATAATAATAAAAGTCAGTGTCTTTGTGTATATCATCGTTTGGTGTGATTTTTTCGATGTTTTCTGTTTTACACTTTGCCATTATTATTTTTTTAATATACTAATGCATGAATGCTGAAATTTTAAAAATATAAAACAACGAACTTTCATAGACAACACATTGTTTTAATGTATCTATTTACTGAAACACATAATTTTCACAGAAACTCAATTAAGTTCTTGAATAAATTTTCAATGAAAAACTAGAAAGAAAAATCATGTGAATTGTGCTAAGTCATGATAAAATCAAAATTATAAAGATAAAAGCAAATCCGCCTCGCTGTTCTTAGTAGTTAGTAGTCAGAACAAGATTCATAATCTTGCTGACCCAAATTCGAGCCATATCATGACGCAAAAATTCTAATGAAGTCTTAGAAGCTTAGGACTTCGATTTGATAATTCAAGTTTATCGCAAGCAGGGAAGCGTCAAAAAAAAAGATTTGAAATCCCTTTGTATCAATTTAATATGCATGCGTATTAAGGATAGAAATCAAAGAGAATATTCTCTATGGAACTCTACTGTGAAAGCAAAACTCTTTCTCTCTCTCTCTCTCCCTCTTTCCTCCACTAAGTTGGAGTATTTAAAGTATAGACCAACAAAAAAATGGCAGGAAACTAAGAAAAAATTCCAAGAAAAACTAAGGGGATTCTCGGAAAAAAAACATATTTTTGGATAATCTAACAAGATGGGGTTTATTCTCCTATATTCTTAATCGCTTCAGTGTACTGGTCGGTACACTCCCTACTCTGATGATGATGATGAACATATTTTTGGAAAAGCACGAGTGTGTTTCGAAGTACCATTTCTGATCGTTAGGAAAAAGTACTATGTTGATTTACCTTCCATTATTGGCTTTTCCGCTGAGGTGCATGGGTTGAATTTACCAGAAGCTTTCTAAATTTTTAATAATGTTAGAAAGAAATTCAATAAAATTTACACAATTTCTTTTATATAAGTCTATAAAAGTCGAAATTTTATATTTTAAACATACTAAATTTAATGAATATTAACAGAGAGTTCAGACATAATTTTAACATAATTTTAACTTAATTTTAATTTAATTTTAATTTAATTTTGGTAGCTTCAAATTTTATAAAAATAAAACAGAGATGGAACTCGAGTGAAAAAATTGTTTTCGCGGCTTTGAGATATTAATTGGATATTTGAAATATCTGATTTTTAATTTCGCATAAATGAATAATATTTGGACAATCGGAGAAAGGCTTCTCTTTCTAGATCAAAACTGCGCAATGTTTTCCAATTCAAAAATAATGTAGAATTGCAAAAATTAAAAAGATTAATTTAACTAGAATAGGAAAAACAACATTAATATATAGAATCTAACTTCTAAAAATACGACCTTTAGAGTTCAAGATTCGAATACAAATTCTTTTTTCTCTGAATCCAGTTCCATCCCTAAAACAACGCATGACCAAAATTTAAATATTTAAATAAAAAAACCAAAAAAAAAACTCATAAAATATTGAAATATATAAACTTAAATNTTCTTATATGTATATAAATATTATATATATATAATATATTTGTTTTTGCTTTTTGTTTATGATATCTATGCAACTATTATATTTGGATATGACAAGAAAAATAGTAAATTTATTTATAATAATACACAATTAAAACGTAGAAACTCTTTTGCTTCTCATAAGGGTATTATTTTTGATTTTCAAATTAATTAGAGTTCTTTTCCCAATTCTCAACACCCCAAAATCGTAAGCAAATTTAGACTATCTACTGATCTCGAGTTTCATTTTCAACGCTATCTAACTTTAAATTAGCTAACGAAAAGAAACAGAATAATGTGGAAAACTCATAGATCATAAAATAAAATTAGCCTTTACCTTTGTAGCCCAAGAAAATGCAAATAAAAGGTGAAATTTGGCTACATTTTTGGAGGTGAAACCAATTAGGCAAAATACTCAATGTATAGGTAGAAAAGAATGCAACCCGAGATGTGATAAGTTCTAGAAAAATGAAATGTGAAGTTAAAAGATTTTTTAATTGTAATTATTATATGTAGTAAACGCTATGATGTTATAGTTGCATTGATATCATTTCATTTTAAAACTTCCTGTTTAAGCACGAATTTTGTTTTCATTATTTTAGAATTATTTTTCAAATTAATATAACACCTTGAATTATATTTTAGGCGAAAGAAAAAGTGCATACGATACAAGGAGGCAGAAGAAACGCGCGATTTAGAAAATTTTGGATCGGATGATAATTTTGGATCATGTGGATCAGTTGATGATGCTCAAACACCTGATGATGATAACGAGTCTTTGAATCAGTCGATGTCAAGTCCAAGTGCTCTGAGCGGTCTGTCTAGTCTTCAGTCGCCTTCAACTTCTCTTGCATCACCTATAAATATAGTAGCATCACCTTCTACGCCAAATCCAAATGTATCACTTCCCCATGATGACAATCAAATCGTTACATCTATTGTAACTCAAATTCAGCGCAACAAATTACACAGTGGTTGGGAAGGAAAATATCAGAATAATCAAAAACCACAAAATGGAATTTTTTCTCAAGAAGACATGAACACAGAAAAACAAAAACAACCTTTACACGATGTTCATATTAAAAAGGAGCCTTCAGATTTTCAAAACCGTGATCATCATCAGAATCAACGAATAGATCAAATTTTCTATGATAAACTTCCAATTGTTCATCGTAATCCAGTTGGTGCAAATCCACGAGATATAAACAATCCTTTAAGTGTAAATCAATTGACACGGCAAGATTTTCAACCATACGGAAATGGAAGTGGGTTAACATATTATCCACCATTTCAAAAGTCATTGATGACGCATCATCATTCTCATCCATTTGCTCAAATACATGCAGCAAACTTTGCAAATTTCCAATTTGCTGCAGCAGCAGCAGCAGCGGCAGCGGCACATCAAACGCCTAACGTCGGAAAAGACGCAGGTTCGTCAAATGGAACGCATCATCATAATGATGATGGAAATGCAATAAGTGTAACGTAAACTTTATTATTTTCTTTTCTATGATATCAGAAAATGTGGTAGAGTTAAACATTTGTTTAAAACTTTATATTAGCACAATTTAAATTTTGCAACAAAAAAGTTTCACATTCACTTGAAAATCATTCAAATGATCTCAACTACTTTTTTTTTCATTCTATGTTATTCCGTAAATCGATTCTTCTTTCATTTCATAAAACTTTTACGGAATTAGAAATATATAATTCATAGTGCCACCTGCAAAGAAATTAAGACGTTTAATTTTTATAAATCCCGATTGTGATTTCTATTTTGACAAATTAATTTCAGTGTGCCAAAAATTAATTTTTGAAAACGAAATCAGAAATGAGAACTTGAAATGATAGTTTGCATTTTGTTCTTTTAATTTTCTGAAGACATTATATAACAACAAAATTTCGAGTATTCTTGAAGTTACTTTTGGTAACTTCACATAATACATTATTCAACAATGAATACACCGTAAACTGCTTTCTTCCAATAACTTTTTTTTGTGTCAATATCAAAATTTTATGTTAACAGATTAAGTTTTAAAACAATATTTTATTTATTGTGATCAATGTATTTTTTTTTAATTTTCGACCCTTTAAAGGATTGGTATTGAAAAAATATGTGTTTAAAATTTATTTTTTTTAAAGAAAACCTTATATTAACCTTGCAATATCTTAAGTTTAGGATATCCTTAAAGTATCTGCCCCGAAGAAACTAAATTCGTATTTAATTTTATCTGTTCAGCTGGTTTCAATACTTCCTGTGGCCATACGAATTAATTCACCTAGTATTAATTATTACTCAAATCTGTTTTCTTGAAGTCCTACATATATATTTTCCGCAAAATTTTTCTTTTGACACTACATATGTGAAACTATGTGAAATACTGAAATGACTTTTTGCTGAAAATTCTTAAGGATAAAAATCTTATCGAATTTCGATCCCTAATGTAAGAAATGGATTATCCTCTACATATAATGTGAAATCAATATGCACATCTATGTAAATATCTTATTATATGTCCATGAACTGATAAAATATAAATTGTAAATAAACATAGGTTTAAATATAGATATTACTTTAGCCATAAGTAGGTCCTTAGACATGAGAAAAATATTTGAAAAAAAAGAAAAGATCTTAAAGATCTGGAGAAAGTTTATAGTTATTGTAATATAAAAACCTTCATTAGATATACCCATATACATTTAAAGCAATCATTCTAAATTTTACGTAACTAATCATTTGTACTTCTTATCCACAATTTTAAAATTTTCGAAGAAAACGTACACATTTTTTTTCATCATGCGTAGGTGGAAAAAAATTGCTGACATATTTCAATAAAAGTTGCATATTTTTAATTTTCTTTACCAAGACTACATGCTTCAGCACTAGACAATAATATCAAAATGTTATTTGATTTTCCGATATTTTTCATGATGATAATGACTGAATTTCTTTTTTCAAAATATTCAAATGCTTTCTAATTTTTACAATTGTTTTTTTTTCTTCAACTCATCTTAGTTTTTTTACAAAAACGTCAATTCCGCTCAAACAATGATAAATTCTTTTCCAACCGTTAAATATTAACAAGTGGATAAAGTCAGGGTAATATCTGAAGTTAGACTTCTCAATTAAATATAATATATTTTGAGAATAGATTTTATAAATACAGAAGAATATCGATTTGTCAATGGCCCAATAAACTTATAAGTTTGATGAATAATTAGTTTATCCGTACACTAATTTTCCTGAACAAATTTCATTCGACAAACTAATATATTTTGTCCTCCTTCAGGTTTTAGCTATTAAAATTTTATGAAAGAAAGAATTTTCAATCTCAATGAAGACAAATTTTAACGCAAATTTTTTATTGATCTTTCTTTATTAATACGGCTACAAGTCCTTTAGATTCTAATTTTGAACAATTTGTTAGATCTTAAATAAAAACAGGAAAATTATTCTCGTAGCGAATTTTAATTAAATTTTAATTCTCGAATCATTAAATACCTTATTCATAAACAATTTAATGGATTTAATTTGATTACCTTTTTTTCTGTAATATTTATTGGGTCATCTATTTGAAAAACACTCCTTGCCAAAATTATGTTTGAAATTAATCCTATAAATTCAAGAATTAATTTTTTACGAAGCCAATTGAATTCTTGGTTAAACTCCACTTATGAGCAGTAATATTGCAGCTGTATTCATAAAAAATGACGACGCCAAATTTTCGATTAGAAAGATAAATTATGGGTTGAAACTTATTTATGGAAACAAAAGATTTCTAACGAATTTGAACCGAAACTTGATTGAATATGTATTGATTTCAATATCTACAATTTTAATTCTAGTTAAAAGTAGTTCATTCAATGGATATGGATATGAGATTTACATACATAAGAATGATTGCTTTATCTTGGATATGTACAAAAAAAGAATGTGTATGCTTGACTCACGCATACCTTTATCGAGCTTACCTAAAATATGAAATTGATAGACATGAATAAAATAGATATATATATAAAAATTAATTTCTTTTATCATACAA